AAAGTACAGTATAAAAGGCTTCCTCCTCATCCCTGAACAAAGAAATATTATGATTATTTTCTGAGAGAGCTTGTTTTAGAAATAAGAACTCAAGATAAAAAAGTATTAGTTTGAAGTAATGAGTAATCATAAATATATTTACATGTTCAGTAATATGTCTAAATATAGCTTTCTTAAAATAGCATTGACCGTTAAAAAAATTGGAAAGTAATATTGGCTAACTGCTAGGACAATACTATGAAACTTGCAAATCTCCATGATCTTAAATAATGTGAGCCTTAATAGGCTTTACTAAAGTTACACTAAAATATTAGTTACAAGCTTATTACACAAATACAAAGGCACCCCCTTGTAAAAGGCCAAGTAGGAATCAAAATGATAGCAATCTTGCTTTCCTAAGTCAAATATAGTAAAGGTACCTCTTAAGCTGTTAAACCTCTCAAACTGCTTATAAATAACCTCATTTAGGGAAGTAAACAACAGAAAAGATACTCATAAATTTAGAGGTGGAAAAACAGATATAAAAAGAGTATCTTTTCCCAAGGATACAAGGTTATAAAGGACTAAAAACGGGAACAGAGTATCAATAACTTGTCAGTCAATTATATACAGTCTTTTCAAAGACCTCTTTCATGCAAGGGTTCCCCAAAGTGGGCTGCAAATGAGCTTCTAGGACTGAATTTTGGAGGGCAAACCAGATGAAAGCTTAACATCTTAAAAAAGGTCAAGATATTGACCTGGTCAAAGATCATACCATTGCTTTTCAGTGTGCAGGTACTAGTTAAATAAAACAAGTGAGATTTTTTTAAAAAAAAGCAATCATCTCTCAGAAGAAAAGAAGCTAATTTTACATTATCTGTATCAGGGTTGTGTCACTCCAGGTAATTTCTTAGGCAGTTTTACAACTATTCTTAATTTCCTTTGTAGATGAGAAACTGATTTACTCTAGGGTTTAATTTTCCAAATCACAGCCTTTGATCGTCCATCAGGATAAGTCTCAGGCCACAAGGATAACTATGTAACATATTTTATAGAGGATTAGGACTGGTTAAATGAAAATGTATTTTAACATATTAAACTTTCAATTACACAACAGGACATGGTGAATCTGAACCTCAGCCCCAGACGAAATCTTTTGTGGGAGCTGCTAAAAAGGCGTCAGTTGGTTTTTCTGGGCTTTAGTTTTCCTTCCTTTGTTCACTCTCTCATGGAGGTAAGCAAGAGGCCTAAAACGCAAAGAAAGTGAAGAGAAGCAAAAGGGGTGGTAACAAGTTTAAGCTCCAGAAGTGACGAGTCACCACTGAGAAAGGAACGAAACGGGCCCCACGGCACTGGGGCCATTTACAGTCAGAAACCCTATGTTCACCCATGCCCTACTCCACGTTCATTTTATAAGCAAGGCCTGCTCCTGTGCATACTCCAGTACCTGCATTACATAGTCACTGCTCCATCGGCACCAGTAGATGCTGTGTTTACTCCACACCAGGTCTTCTATTGTTAAGTCTCCAGTCATTAGAGCCAACTTAGATACTTTGGACACTAACCCACTGAGTGGTGGAGTTAAGAAACAGAGCCAAGTAGATTAGGCAAGCACAGCGTCTACAAAGCAATTCAACGACCGAAATAAGCCAAGAATGCATTGCCCAACGCTTAGTCCAAAGTTGAGTTGCTGGACCTAGATTCCTAAATGGGAACAGGGTCATACAGAAACTCTACCACTTAGAACTTCTGCAGGGCAGTGAGGTGGGGAACAAGCAGGGAAACAGCAACATGTACTCTTTTTTGGCGGGGTGGGGGGTGGGGGAGTGGTGGAGAGGTGGGTGGGAACCTCCTGGCTGGCAGGATCTTAGTTCCCTGTTCAGGGATCAAACCCACGCCTTAGGCAGTGAAGGCGTGGAGTCCTGAAACCACTGGATCACCAGGGAAGTCCCAGTCATATGTACTTATTATCTGGTCTTATAGCAAAAAGGACAAGAGTAGTTGGTCATAGTTTGTTTTAATTTTTACATTTTTATTGCAGTAAATATATATATAAATGCTACCATTTTAACTATTCTTAAGTGTACAACTCACTCAGTGACATTAATACATATTTTTAAGAAGAAGAAAAAAAGAAGAGATGAATCTGCAGCTCGTGATGACTAATATATCCAGAGTTCAAGACAGGGGACCACATGAGGCAACGGTGGAATAGCTTTCAACACAGTGACCATCATGAGAGAGAGAACGAAACTGGGAGTGAGGAGTGGACTAGCCATTTCTAACCAGGGTTTAAGTACCAGCACCTGAGAAAAGTCTCAGCCCACCGCCAGGCTACACTCAACTCAGAGCGAGTTCAGTGAACAAAGTGATTACAAGAATTTGCAAGAGAAAAACAAAGCTTACCTTTGATGTAGTTGTATATATACCAACCAACGTACATATACATTCTACAAACATATACATAAACAGACAGGTACAAAATAAAACTAGGGACCTCAAACACTATGTTCTGAATTATTTTACTTGGACTGAGAGGGTCTGGCTAATCACCTAATCTGCATATTCATTTACAGGATCTTGAATGGTTAGGACAGGCCAACAAATGCCTAACTTATAAAAGTCCTACATTCCCTGGGAAAAATGATAAAGGGGACTTTGGAACTAACTGATGGTTTAGGCCACCAAGACACTAAAATTATGATTTTCAAAAGGCAAGACAAAGGTTGCCCTGAATTGGCAGGAAAGGAGGGAAGACCAGCCTATCAGAGGCAGCGCCAGAATGTAAAAAACGGACAAAGTAACACCTTTAGCGCAAGCATCCCATATTGGAAGACATTTGACTCAGGAAGAAATGCTTCTCACAGGACACTAGGTGGTGCCACTCCAAGGCCCTCTGGCCCAGGGCAGCCCCTAGGGAAGAATTTTCTAAATTCTGGATGGGAGGTGAAGGAAAGGATGCTGAGTCGTGGAAAGGAGCAATGCTGGAGGGTCAGGGTGAATGCACTAGGCACTTAAGCAGCCCAGGGCCTTTCAGAATGACTGCAAGAATCCTAATCTCCAGTGAGGAGAGTTTGCCCCAGGCAGCATCAGAGTTAGGGAGTGGGTTCTGGCAGTGGCGAGAGCCGTGTGCCTAGCAGAGAGATACAGACACCCAGGAGAAAGGACACGGGGCCCACGTGGAGGCCAAGACAGAACACTGGCTGGTGACTCGAGCTGAGACCCTCCTGGGACCCTCACCTAAGTCCTGATCCTCAAGAACTGCCACACGCATCTCACCTCCACTGAATGGATGGAACTGGGGAAACACTTAACTACACCAACAACCAGAGCCGGAAGTGTGTCCCTGATAATGACTTTCTGCAACCCTGGGTTGAAAGTCCAGCTTCAAACATGTTAAGTAAACCACCCTCAGTAACCCATGATGAGGAAGAATGCACGGGCGGCATGAAGTCTGTGGAAGTCCACAGTCACAGGTATCCAGACGGATGTCGGGCAGGGCCACGGAAACAGTGTTAAGGGTCCCAACATCTGTGCTCATCAAAAGGCTCCTGACAACTTCATTTTTTGTGCGTGCAAGCCACATTTATAATGGTGGATTTCCTGAAACTCAAAAAATTACAGTGAAACCTGGCCACCCTGCTCTCTATTTGCACCAGAGTGCTTTTAATTTTCAAGTCCAAGTAAGTAGACAGACAGCTGAGAGATTTAATCCTTTGTCTTACTCAGATCTGACCAATTCAGAAAGTAAACACTCTCCCAAGCAAAAGTTTAAACTGACAACTTAACCAGAGTTGAGAATTTTTAAGTGGTCCCACTGAGAAAGACAAAACAAGGCCTGTACTTAATTTTTTAAAGATAAAGATCTCTACAAAAGCTAACCTAAGTCTAGTTCTGATAATTAGCAAACCAATCACGATCTCACTTGATCTGACCAATTTAGCACTAAAGGACTTCCAAGTCTTCCATACACAAGTACAGTCAATGATGCAGTAAGCCCTAGGACTTAAAGTTATTAGCACGAACTGCAGGAAATAACGACTAATGCAGCTCCTACTGTGTACCAGAAACAATTTGTATTTGGAAGAAATTCGAAGGGAATTACGGCTCCACTGGTCTTCAAAACTCAGAATTACGCAAAATTAAAACGCTATGATCACTCTACATTCAATGAAACATATACCTCAATGTCTTCCCTTCTTTCGAGCCTCACACACGACTGCAGTATGAATACAAAGGCAACTTTTAAAAACTTTCTGAACACAAGAATAAAATCCTACAGCTGAAACAAAGAAACAATATTAAAACAACAGGCTTAAAAACCGGTCATTGAAAGGAGGATTCACAAGTGCTGCCTTTTCTTTTTTTAAAGTGGCTTAAGTTTCGGTTTAGGAAAAGTTCACAGGTAACATGTGCAGGAGTGCTAAATATTTATCCCCTGGGCAGAAGGGCTGAAACTTCACTGTCATTACTACCACCGCGTTATCTGCGGGAGAACACATTATTTAGAGAGCAAGTTAACAGGTTCGGATGACTCAAGTTCGCTGGAAACAGAAGTCACCTTGGCACACAGATAAATGAAATCCAGCCTCGCGCTGCTCAGTTTTGGGCTCCTCGAGCCGGGGGTGGTGGGTGAGATGCTCGCCAACGTTATCGAGGCGGGAGGAGACCCCAGACGCTCTGTTTCGTTTTTTTTTTGTTTTGTTTTAAAGAAAGACCTTTCAGAAGCAGCAGGAAATGGCAGTGGGGACGAACGCCCCCGGTCGCTGCCCCCCTGTCTGTCTGTCTCTCGGACGCACCTGGCCGGGCGGGCGTTTTATCCCCCGGGGGGGCCTCGGCGCTGCCGGCGGCCCCGCCCGAGGAGCCTGTCAGCGGCCGCGGCGCCTCGGGAGCCGCGCCGGCTCCGCGCGCGCCCAACCAAGCCCCGGCCGCCCCCGGGGCTCGCGGCCGGAGTCCCGCGCGGCGCCTCTAGCCGCCCTTCGCCGCCCCGGCCGCGGCCTAGCGCCGGCCGCCCTTCTCACCTGCGCGGCTGCGGCGCCGCTCCCGCCGCCGGTCGCTCTCGTAGAAGCCCAGCGTCTCCGTGTGCTGAGGCGCCGGCGGGGGCCCGTGACCGCCGCCGCCGCCGCCGCCGCCACCGCCCAGCTGCTCCGCCTCAGCGCGGCCATCCCGCTCGGCGCCGTCCGCGCCGCCTTCTCTAGGGGCGGCCGCGTCGCCGACGCCCGCCATGTTCCGAGCACAGCAAACCGTCCCCACCGCCTCCCTCCAGGCGCCGACCCGGCCTCCGGCCGGCCCCCTTCCCGCCTCGCCCCGCCCCTCAGCGGAGCCCGGGCCGCCGCCGCCGCCGCCGCCATCCGCGGCCCGCCGGCCGGCGCGCACCATTGGCGTCAGCGGCGCGTGAGAGGAGGCGGCCGTCGCCGCAGCCGCCGCCGTCGTCGCCGCCGCCACGGCCGCCGCCATCTTCTTCCTGCCGTCGCTGTGACGCGCGCTGCCTTCCCGCGCCGCGCCGGGCTCCATGCCGCAGGGCCGCGCGGACGGGGAGAGTGAGCGTCTTCGGGGCTCGGGTCGGGGCCCCGGCGGGAGCAAGCCGAGCGCGGCGGCGGCGGCGGCGGCCGGAGGGTCGGCTGAGGAGCCTCGGGACTGCAGCCGCTGCTGCTGCGCCCGCTGCCCGCCGTCTGCGAGGTGGCCGGCCGCTCGCCCGGGGCCCCTTTTGCAGGCTCGGTGCCCGGAGTGCGCCGGCGCCGCCGCCCGCCCGGTCTTGGCACGGTTGGCGCGGCCGTGGCGCTGCGGGCCGGCCTCCAGATGATCCCCGACCCCCGCGAGGCCCGGCCCCGCGGGTCGGCTCCTTGGGCTCCCGCTCTTTTGCATTATTAGGCTGGCGCGTTAGCATCCCGGGCCTCTGGGGGTTTTGTTGCTGTTGTTGACAGTTTCCAAAGCATTTGGGCCAGAAGGTGCCCCGGAGATGCTGCCCAACAGGTGGGGGTGCGGAGTGGGCAGGGCACGGGCCTGGGGACTCCGCCCGAGAAGCCGGGTGCTTTCTACGTTTGTTTGCTATTTTTCCGCGCCCGCGGACCTCCTAAGGCCGCCTGTCGGCGTCAGGGTTAGGATGCGGCTTTCGGCCGCCCTCGTTCATCAACCGGGGCGCCCCTCATTACTTGGGGTGACTGCCCTGGGCAGCTCGGGCGTGTGTGACCCCGCACCGAGCGCGGTGTCCAGACCACCGCCGCCGCCGCCGCCGCCGGTAGTCAAAATGCTCCAGACTCCGGGAAGGGGCCGGCCTCTCCGTTTATGGGGGTGGGGGGTTTGTGGCCGGTCAGTTTCTTGCCTGCCAACTAAAACCTGTGTCTCTGGGGCTTCCCTTTTGCTTAAAGAAACCTGGAATTCTTCGCTTAAGGTTAAGTTGTCTGGAGGTTCCCTAGACCTCACCTGGAGAGCTAGATAGATAAATAGAAAAGTGAAGTCACTTAAGCCATGTCCGACTGTTTGTGACCCCACGGACTACTGTAGCCCACCAGGCTTCTCTGTCCATGGGATCCTCCAGGCAAGAATACTGGAGTGGGTTGCTATCCCCTTCTCCAGGGGATCTTCCCAACTCAGGGATGGAACCCGGGTCTTCCGCATTGCAGCCAGACGCTTTACCGTCTGAACCACCAGGGAAGCCGTGATAGATAAAAGCGGGTGTGAACAGAGCAAAAATCGACCTCGTGGTGGTTCAACAGAGACCTTGAGGGTTCTGTTGTCGCCAACGGGTACCCACCTGGTTGCGAACTCAGAGTGGGCTGTTGTGGGCTCCATGCAGAGAGGACAGCCTCCTCACAGACTAAGAGCAGGTTGAGAGGTTGTGGGGGCGAGGGTACCCAGGTGGACCAAGAAGGCCTGGTAGTTGGGAACTGACCCTCGGGCGCCGGTGAAAGGAGGAACTGATGCCTTTGGAATATGCTTATCCTTCAGAAAACGGAACCGTTGGGAGGATTACGTTTCTAAGCATCCCTGTGACCAAGAAATTCTCTTGTTTTGGTTGCATCTGTCAAAACAGAGTTAAGAAATCAATCAAAAACAAGTGCTCTGGTCAAATCTTCAGAATCATTTTGAAAATCAAAAGGTACTGAAAACTCTGCGGCCTCTGAGATTCCTTAAGGCTCGAATTCTGTTATTCTCTGATCTTTAATATAGTAAAACCATCCTGTTCTATTATTAACCGATTGTCCAGGAAGAAGTAAGCTTTTACTGCTTGTTTCTGTCAGGTCCCGATTCCTGTCTCACCACGTTGATTGGCTGATGGGCCCTTCTTTTAACTCCGTAGGAGCTGGAAGGGAAGGAATTGTAAAGTCTGTTTCCTAAGGCAGCCAGTTGTAGGAATGGAATTCTCTCTTGTTCTGTAATGGCCTGAGGAAGACAGGGAGTTTTAAAGGCCGTCTTTGTCCTTTAAAATAGTCAGCAAAGGGAGGCCGCCTTGTATTGAGGGCCAGGTGTGAAGGTGATTCAGCAGAGTAAACCTGAAACAGGAAAGCTGAACTCTGGTCACTTTTCACCAAGTGGATCTTTTTACTGGCGCTACATTATTTTCTCTAATGTTTTGTGAGATTGCACCACTTCAAACCAACCCATCTTGAAGTGGGACATGATAAAAAGCATTTTTCAGGGACTTCTGTGGTGGTCCAGGGGTTAACATTCTGTGCTTCCAGCTCAAGGGGCTTGCATTCAATCCCTGATCAGGGAAATAAGAGCCCATATGCTAGTCGGTGTGGCCAAAAAGAAAATAAAAAGCATTTTTGAAATGAACATTAAATAACTTTTCCAGTCAACACTATTCTTTCCTTGTTTAGGTATTGATAATTAGTCAAATAAATACCTTATTGTACATGAAAAGTTTCTTTGCGTTCTTTCAACCCATTGTCAAAATTTCAGAATCCAGGAAAAGGGCATTGTCAAATATGTATTCTGTATCATCAAAAAGGCAAGTTTCACATAATCTTAAATAGTTATAGAGCATAGAAAACCAACAGTTCTCTGAGGATAATAGATAGAACTTAAAATATAATGTTTTCTTTATCAGTTGCAGAGCAAAAGGTATAAGCTTAGATTTATTATGCTACTGTTAGGAAATAATAGCAGTAGTTTAAAGAGACATCATAACCCTCACATTAAAGACACATCAAAAAGCATTTTGAGTTAAGGTATAAGTTAAAAGCAGGATTTGGTTGACAATAAGCTACAGGAATTGGACTTAAAACATTAATTCAACAAACAATTAGATGGTATGCTGCTAACATGTCACTGTGTTAACTGCTAGTGAAAGAAATGATTCATCGGTGGGTGACAGATTCAATAGAGGAAAGTGATGGGCAAGAGTGACACTGAGAATAGTCTTTACATGTAAACAGTAGAAAGAAAACGATTCAAGGAGTGGAGAAACTTATCAAGGGATTTATACATTCAAATTATATTTTAATATGTATACATAATAACTGATTATGTAAATTCAATCAAGAGCTTGTAAATTGCTACACATATTAATTAACTGTGTAACCTTTACCTAATGGTGATAATATCTACCATGTAGCTGCTGTATTTTGAAAAGAACAAAACAAAATGTTTTTTAAAGAAATGAAAATTGGGTGAGTAGTATATATAATTTAAAAAATACATAACTTCATTTTTTAGTAAATGTTTAATAACTGATTTTATGACTATAGAAAATACATTGAACACATTGTATATGAACCATGGGTTCAAGCTCCAGAAAATTTTCTTATGAGGCCTAAAAACTATGGTTCTTAGTATCTTTCACTGGTAAATGGGGTAATACCTACACAATCAGTTCAGTTCAGTCGCTCAGTTGTGTCCGACTCTTTGCGACCCCATGAATCGCAGCACAACAGGCCTCCCTGTCCATCACCAACTCCCGGAGATTACTCAAACTCATGTCCATCGAGTCAGTGATGCCATCCAGCCATCTCATCCTCTGTCGTCCCCTTCTCCTCCTGCCCCCAATCCCTCCCAGCATCAGGTCTTTTCCAATGAGTCAACTCTGCATGAGGTGGCCAAAGTACTGGAGTTTCAGCTTCAGCATCAGTCCTTCCAATCAACACCCAGGACTGAGCTCCTTTAGGATGGACTGGTTGGAACTCCTTGCAGTCCAAGGGACTCTCGAGAGTCTTTTCCAACAACACAGTTCAAAAGCATCAATTCTTCGGTGTCAGCTTTCTTCACAGTCCAACTCTCACATCCATACATGACCACTGGAAAAACCATAGCCTTGACCAGACGGACCTTTATTGACAAAGTAATGAATCTGCTTTTTAATATGCTGTCTAGGTTGGTCATAACTTTCCTTCCAAGGAGTAAGCGTCTTTTAATTTCATGGCTGCAATCACCATCTGCAGTGATTTTGGAGCCTGAAAAAATGAAGTCTGACACTCTTTCCACTGTTTCCCCATCTATTTCCCATGAAGTGATGGGACCGGATGCCATGGTCTTAGTTTTCTTAATATTGAGCTTTAAGCCAACTTTTTCACTCTTCTCTTTCACTTTCAGCAAGAGGCTATTTAGTTCCTCTTCACTTTCTGCCATAAGGGTGGTATCATCTGCATATCTGAGGTTATTGATATTTCTCCTGGCAATCTTGATTCCAGCTTGTGCTTCTTCCAGCCCAGCGTTTCTCATGATGTACTCTGCATATAAGTTAAATAAGCAGGGTGACAATACACAGCCTTGACATACTCCTTTTCCTATTTGGAACCAATCTGTTGTTCCATGTCCAGTTCTAACTGTTGCTTCCTGACCTGCATACAGGTTTCTCAAGAGGGAGGTCAGGTGGTCTGGTATTCCCATGTATTTCAGAATTTTCCACAGTTGTAGGAGCTAAAAAAAAGATTTTTCTTTTTATTCCTCCTAGTGCTAACTTTGAATGCTTCCTTTTGTTTAGACTGAGTAGGTTTTACTTTTCAACTACAAAGCAACTTACCTCTTGATGATATTTCTGGTATATTGCCTCTAAAATATGTTTGAAATTAGCTCCATATACTTATCCTGAGGAACAAAAACATCACATGCTTTGCTGACTTGAAAGGACCCTGAATCTGGAGAAGCCTGGACTCTGGCTCTCCCGTCAGTCTTTTGACCTAAGATGACACATGTGAGGTCTCCATGTTTCATTTTCTCCCCTGTAGAGCATTGCACTAGATGACTCTGGTGTCCTCTTGTAGAATTTTCTGATAAAATCCTTC